CTGAGAATAAATCACCGCAGCTGTCCCAAACCTGAAAATAAGTCACCGAAGTGAAACAGGTGTCACCAAGCCCATACCGTACCTGAAGCACGTCAGACACCGTAGGACGTAGCCACTCCGTAGCAAGCCTCATATCCGTACCGAACCGAACACCATGGTCGACCCTAGGCAGCACCTGCCCATGCGTCTCCCGCTCTCAGAACGTCCCAACAATGGCAGTGTTAGTAATCAAGCAAACCAACGAAAGTGACGCAGGGAACCTCAGCCATCGGCGGTATTGAACACTGTTAAAATCCGGGGAAAATGTTCAATCCGGGGTCAGAGCTACCGGCGGGTAATCGAGGCGAAATTAGGCCAACCCCCTAATAATCATGGGTTCCCGTCTCTTTCATCATTTTTCATCATTCTTCCCTTCCATTAATTCTATTGTTGGAAATTGTAAATTATCCGTAAGATCCCCAGAATAAAATTCCGAAAAAGTTCAAATCAATGGCCGAATTCCTTTTGTTTCTTTTCTCTTCTACAATTTTTAATCTTTTTTCTATGTTTTTAATTTCATTGTCGGGAACATAACATAACAAGGGTATTCCCCCTCGAATTAAATGCCATAAAAAATAAAGAAATTAAGGGATATTATGTTTTTCCCTTCTCCCCTACTGGTCGTAATCCCTCTTCCCCATCTTTAATTACGGTACTAAAATAGACAAAAATTCGAGGCCTCATTTCGGCCCTTGTTGTATGCCGCCAAAAAGGTGGCTGCGAGGTCAGTTCCCGCGATACCCCTCCGCGGCAGGTCAATCCGGGTCTACCCCCCCTGAACGGTCGGAAATGACAGTCCCGAGACATGCCGACTCCGGTCACCCATCTCGCCATCTTTGAGCGTTACTCATAAAGCTCAGTGCGCCCAAAATCAGGGGTGCCCTGAGTTCCCCTAATTTTTGCTGCCTGGTCATACGAGACTACCATCAAAAAACGGATTTGTCCCTGAGCCTAAGCCCCAAAACTGCGGATCTCAGGCGGCGCACTGTTTGTGGCTGCCTGACAGTTTAGGACAAAGTTCTTTACTTCCTTTGCCGCCTTACTCCTGATAGGTCTACCGTCCACGAACCCAGTGAAATCGTCTCGTATGTTCACGACGTAGTTCATATTGCCTACCCCTCTTGGCATTTTCACTAGATCGACGTGTACCTTCTCTTTTGGTCTGGTCGGATAGGATGGATGAAGTGGCTCTTTGTATTTCACAAGAGCTCTCTTCTGACACTCTTCGCATGTCATACAATACCTCTCGACGTCCTTATACTGTCCATCCCACCAGTACAACCGGCGTATCTTTTCGTAGGTTCCTTTAACTCCCCTGTGTCCTTCGACTACCCCATCGTGAAGTTCCGCAACTATCGTCTGTCTCTCCTCAGGATCACAGACTACTCGTAAGGGCATTCCCGACCCTACTGGCCTTCGGAAAAGGTGACCCGCTCTAAGGCAGTACTGGGCTACTTGCCTCCGGATTTCTGAATCTTGACTCTCCTCTCCCGTCAGGTGTAGTCCGATCATTCGGTACTTGCCCTCGTAAAGATTAACCAGGAATCTCTCGGCGCGCCTCGGCTCTGCCATTGTCAGAGCCCCAACTACTATCGGACGCTCGAGAGGGATGCGTGAAAGTCCATCTGCCACGGCATTTTTCGTACCAGATAATCTTTCAACCGTGTAATCGTATAGCCGAATCCGTATTAACCATCGGGCGATGGTCGGGTCCGTCAGACTAAAGTCCTTCTGGAAAGACGGAGGCAACCACGGTGCGGTCTACTCTCAAGATGAACTGTCGCCCATAGATATAGTGTCTGAACGTGTCTAGACACCGGAGAACAGCCAACACTTCCTTCTTGAATTGACTGTAGTTACGCTCAGCCGTATTAAGTGTCCTACTCTCAAATCTTAACGGTCTTTCCTTCCCTCCAGCGTCTTTCTGAGACAGCAAACCACCCACTGAACATGGTCCAGCATCCGTGGATACTATGAAGGGTCTCTCGGTCTCATCGTCAAAGAATGGCACACCCAACACGCGTCCTCCTTCCTTAAATTCGTCTTTAAGTTCTTGCATAGCAAGTTCCTGCGAAGAATTGCAATAGAAGTTCTCAGTCTTTCGAAGGAGTAACCTCAATGGCTCAGCCTTCTCCGCATACCCCCGTATGAATATACGCCAGTAACCGACCACTCCCAGAAACTGCCGGACCTCGGTTGGGCTATGTAACGGTGACGGCCAGTTCAGGAGTTTGTCTAACTTTGTCGGATCTGCTCGGCGTCCTCTCGAGTCACAGATAAAGCCCAAGATCTTAATAGTCGAGACGGCCCATCGGCTCTTTGTTCCGCTGACTGTTAAATTCGCATCGTCCAGCTGCTCGAGGACCGCGCAAATATCTGTTAGGTGCTGCTCGACAAATCTCCTAACTCAAGGTACAACCTCTGTCTCATCCCTGTCTATTGACCCTTTAATAGGAAAGTCATCCAGAAAAACTTCAACCTTATCAGGGATGAAGTCCTTGAGGACGGCTACCATGGCTCTCTGAAAAACGGCTACCCCATTAGTCYRACCCATTRKGACAACCATCATTTGAATTAGTCCCWATGGCGTATGCATAGCCGTGAGGTGYCTGTCCCTAGGGTCAAGCGGTACCTCATCATAGCCTGAGAACAGATCACAGACCGAATAGATCGACCKACCTRCYGCGCCTTCTGCCAGTAAATCGGCGTGTGGCACGGAGCCCACGTCTCGTATCGTCACCGCGTTGACCTTCTGAAGGTCCTGGATCCATCGGATCTTGCCATTCGGCTTTCGTAGGAAGAACCATCGATTTGCATACGCGCTATCAGACGGCTCCGCAACGTGGAAAACCATCTTTTCTTTTAGGAAGACGATAACTTCTTCCTTCTCCTTCTGGGCGTATTTGTATCCCGCGTCGTTCCAGGGAACATGTGGTATCGTATAAATCCTTGCTGGCTTAGCGTATCGAGGGTCAATCCTACCGCGCTCTGCGTCACTAAAAGCTATGGCCTTATCACATGTCTTCAGGATTTCTATCACACGTTCTCGCTCCTGTGGGGTCAAATTCCCATCTCCGATGTCCATCCCTACTATCCTCTCTTCCGTTAGGCGTTGCGGCTCCTTTATCTTTCTTTCTTTGATTTATTTCACGATCTCTTCTTCCGATATCCCTTCCAGTGCAGATCGCTCGTGGCCCACCGCGGCTGGCTTAACTTTTTGGGCTACTCGCTTGTGTCGCTTGGGTAGCCCCCCATAGGGGGCCGTGCCCTTAAAAAAAACACGGATACCACACCGCCAAATTCCTCATCTTTTTCCTTTGGGTATGAGTTGCCGTCCACTATTAGCCGACTCCCTAAATCTTCCACCTTCACGATCCGACCTTCTTCCTCTGTGAGCAGTGGTCCATATTTCTTCTCGCGAAATCGCACCGCGCGGCCGGAGATAGGTAACGACTTAATCTGATCACCGGGTCTCGCACCCACAGCGAGAGCTGCTCTGTTCCTCGGATCCCGAGGCTCCACTGTCTCAATCATTACCCACGTCCCGTCTGGTTTCCTAATGGACAATGTTTGGCTCCCATCAGGTCGCTCTATTGTCACCGCATGCACGTGGCTCTACCACGTTTGACCCAAGAGCAGGTCGGAGCTGCAGTTCTTGACTGCAAAGACAGACAGAGTCACTCTTACCCCTTGGACCTCTATGGCTGCCTTGTGACAAACCCCAGTGATCTGTTGTTTTCTCCCGTCAGCCGTCTCTATCTCGAATAGGTATGACCTATCGAGGCCCAGTCCAACTTGTACTGCCAGGTCCTCGTCTATGATGACAGCCTCACTGCCGTTATCAATCACAGCATCGAGTATCGCTCCATCGTTTACAATCGTCTCTACGGCCCCGCTACCAAGTATATAAAACTTGTCTCGAGGCACACCTTCCATCCCATCGAGAAGGACTGTCGCCATGCGTTCTGCTCTGGCAGTCACCCCCGTTACTGCTACTGTAGAAGCTTCCGCTTTAGGGGCCCCCTGACCCTCCTCTGATAGAGGTATGCGAGTCTTCCGCATGATCATCTGTAATTCATCACGAGCCGGCTTCGATGCCGCCAGGTACTCCAGAATAGAGCACTGCATTGGTTGCCGAAGGGCCCGCCTCAGTGGCTGAACCGTGTCAATCTCGTCCAACGAACTCTTCATTAAGAACTTCTTCAGTCCCCTCTTTCGCGGCGAAAGGATAACCTCCTCTCCATCGACCCGCTGCCCGTCCTTCTCCGTCATCACGTAATCCGTGTCAGTCTTCTTCGATGTAGACCCTCTTGCCGACTTGGTGGCTGCCACCCTTATGGGTGTGGTCGCGATATCCCCCTCAAAGATTATCTTGATGCTCTGGCTCCTGACCGGCTCCATTCCTTTACTCGTCTTTATTCTCCTTGCTTCGACATTCTCCTTCATCGAAGGGAACATCGATACATCTCCCAGATCATCTGCCCACTTGACGTACTTGCGGTCGTCAAGCACGACAAGTCCGTCATCTATTGCCCGTTTGAGGTCCGGGCAATCCCTCTTGATATGATCTTCTCCTCTACAGTAGACGCATGAGTTCCTGGGAGTAGATGTCCTGTCGTCTGCGCCTCTAGAGATCGAATTCCTGGCCGCCTTGGGGTCAGGCGACTTGGGATATGGTTCTGATGAGACGCCATATCCCCCTCTCTCATTCCGACCACGCGAATCGTTGCGCCGGTCTCCTCCAGACCCTCCTTGCCCTTACCACCCTCCCGAATCATTCCGGCGGTCCCCCGAGTCATATCGTCCTCGTGTCTCATCGCGTCGGTCCCCTCGGTTGTACCATCCCCGCGACTCATCGCGCTGCTCTCTCGCATCTCCCCCACGCTCAAACCGTCCGCGCGACCCATCTTGTCGTTCCCAGTCCCGATCTCCTCTCTCATATCTACTCCCTCTGTAGCCATCTCGACCCGACCTCTCGTATCTGTCGTCCCTATATCCATCTCGTCGACCCTGTTCTGTCTCCCATCAGCCGCGGGAGTCGTCTCTACCCCGATCGGCCTCTTAGCGAGGGCTTCGGGGGTAATCATCTAGCCTCCTTGCTCGCACAAACAGCTCGCGATCTCTGCGGTCCCGGTCTATCTCATCGTCCCTACGTCGCCATGATTCATCGTCTCTCTCTCTTCCCCTCGTACGATAATCAGTCAGCGTCCGGGGATTTCTATCCTCGACACTCCTCCAGGGATCGTTGTTCCTACGGTCCCAACGAAGTGAATAGGGTCCTCCAGGTTTGTCCCGGTAGGCCATGGCTCCTGTAGTGGTCACAATCTCTGTAACATGTCTCGTCAATCCCTTCACCATGTCCCGTATTCACTTCACTTCCTCTGCCACGACCTCATTCTTCTCCGACCAGGGATAGTCCTTGAAATCAGGACATCTATTAGTGGCATACTCCTTGTAGAGAGAGAAGTCACGTCTTCTCATCCCTCTCCACACCAAGTCCTTGTAATCGTCTGCCTCCGCCTTTATCGCGAGCTTTAGAACTTCAGGGAAATCAAGCCTGTCGCGCGGAAAATCTCTAAGTATACTTTTTTGCCTACCTTTGGACAAGTATCCGATAAAGATAGTACAGCGCTCGACCTCTGAGATCTTCCCCTTCTTCATCAGCATGTCGGAGATCTTCTGGAAATGCATCCCAAATGCCCGTACGCTCTCATCGTCATCTTGAGTCATTGTTTCAAGGTCCTTAATGGAATACTTGTTGTCCTCCAGTTTGTAAAGTTCAACGAGATTCTTCTTGTACGAAGTCCATTTCCCATCCTTCGGTCGAGCTTCCTTAACTTCCCTACCGAGACATGGGTCCACATTAAATAGGAAGTTCTCTATAATCTCTTCCTCCGACCACTGACTCCGGCTGGCGTGAAGCTCCCACTTCTCCAGATATTCTGTGATACCATAAACCCTGAAGGCAGGAGGCTCTGAGACCTTGTGCGTAATAATATAGCGGTTCTTGCTCTCGTAAGGGAGCGGATGTGACTCCCCTGTCTGGGGGTCGAAGACTCGCCTGGGCGGCGCCCTGTCTCTATCTCTGTCCCTCCAATAGGAATCCCTCAAATTCTCTTTCCAGTCATCTTTGTACCTGTCCGCTATGGTGTCCCTCCGCTCGTACTCGGGGAAGCGCCGCCTCGTCGCTTCTYGTCGTCCGCTCGAGGTACCCGTCTTTAGAGCCTCCTGCGGCTCTGTCGCAACTGGTTCGCCTCTCATGTCGGGCCCTCCGTCATTGGTTTGGTCAGCCCATCTCAGTGGTGCTTCTTGCCTAATTCGTTCCTTCAGATCCCTCAGTGCTCGATCGGGCGATGCCCTGTACTCCTCTCCTGCTTCGCCCGTGGTCGGTTGTGGCCCCATCGTGTCAGGTTCCATTGTACTGCCAGAAGATGCAGTTAGGTATTCTAGCCAACTGTTACAGCCCGACCCTATGACATTCGCTCCAACCCGGACCTATGACAGTCGCGGCAGCCCGGACTTATGACAGTCGCGGCAGCCCGGAATTGTTTCTTTGTCACGACTTGCGTCCGCCTCCAATCTTAGCTCTCGACTGCCTTGATTACCACCTCCAGTATCCCGTACCGGTCGCAGATCTCGTGTTCTCTCTCTATCCCAAGAATCCCTGTCTCTAAGTAACCTCTCTTTCGGGATCGGTCAACAAGGCCGTGCCTGTCCGGATCCACAGTACGCCCGTGGCAGGACCTCTATCCTTGAGACAGATTGCAATCCCAAACCTAGCCAACGTCTCCTGATCAACACTCCCCAAAAGTCCTCGAGCGTCTCTCTCCGTCCTCCTTGCTAGTTCTTCTAGCCCTATCTGAATCGGTTAGCCCGCTAAAGGCCCTCATACTGCCATCCAAAGTCGCCCATCGACCTCTCTAGCTTCCTCTATTCTTCCAAGAGCTTCCAATTTTTATTTCCACTATCGTATGTCCTCAACAGTTACGAGGTCATCTGTCTAACAGCTGAGGTAAGTTAGTGCTATAACGACTTGTAACCTCATCGCCGACCGCTCCAATATGTCATAAAATGTCTCAAAGTCCTCACTATCTCCTCCTCCGTCTATCGCCTCTAAAGTCTTCATCGTTTCCTTCCAGTAYCGGTTGTGAGCGGCTAACACCCTGAGTATTGCACCATCTGTTACAACTCTCCCTAACTCTCCAGCTTTCCTGGCTTCGCTTATCTTCAACCTCTCAGCCTCTCGGGTCGCCTCGTACCATGCCCTTATCCGAGACCGCCCTTCGAAGGGTGTTACTCGGAGTACGTATTTTATCCTTCGTCCTCCTTCTATTCCAATCCAAAGTCCTGTCCCCCTTGCCTCACGCAGGGCACGGCGGAAACACTCTGCCTCCTCAACTATGCACAGTCTGGTATGGAGCTGGAGTTCTAAGATCACTAACACTAATGGTCCGTCCAGTCTCCCTACCACATGTAATGAGTACCGATCCGTCGTGTGTAGTGCAGTCTCGCTCATGTCCTGTCGCTACTCCCCTGCGTTACTTTGTCTCCCGTTGTCTCGCTCTTTGCAGATCGCTTACTAGTTTCTTCGCGTCATACGCTTCTAGCCTTTACCTTCTCCAAAAAGTCTGATCTCCACGCCTGGATATTCTCTCTCTCCTCCCTAAACAGACTCTCTAACTCTCTCGTCACGAGTTCAGCTCTTCGCAACTTGCCCTCGTCTTGACACGACCAAATCTCCCTTAACTTGTCCCCCAATTTCTTTACCTGGTTCAAGAGTGGTTCTTTAACGCGCTTTCTCACTCTTTCGACTGCCTCACTCTCCTCTTCGATACTCAGTCCACATCTTTCTCCAGCTCACCCTCTCACCCTCGCTCTAGCCTCCGCTACCGTCTCATCGTGGTAGTGCTCCGTGCGCATATAACCATGAGACCATATCATCACATCATAGGAAATCGAGGTCTGGAAGGTCACTCGCGCCAGTCCATCAGCTCTACGCTCGTGGATCAAATCCCTAGCTCGTTGTCTACACTCACTCGCCGTCAAGTCCTCGTCTACGTACGCTCGGAAAAGTACTGTCACAGTGTATCCTGTACTTACCAGTTGCTCTTCTACACGCATCACCGTGGCCGTCCTTCCCGGCATTCCCTAAGCTGCGACCTCGAAGAGAAATCTCGCGTCTTTTAGCCCCTCGTAATCGATCTCTGCTCGTCTCCTGCAGTACCTGATCAGATCGATAGGCCTCAGACAGTCCACCCAGCTCGTAACATCTATGATGTCGTCAAGCGTCTCTCTACTGGGCGGCCCCCACCTTACACAAATGACGTAGTATACTTCCTTGAAGCGGGGCGCTAAGCCCTCCCAGAGGGCGTAAAGTATGTGATCGACTGCTCTTCTTAAGCGATCCACGCTCCCATAGGTCTGCCCTATCACGAAGTAGGAACTCCGAATCGCCAATCCTTTCTCGGGTAGAGGGTCGGATGTGGTGGACCGTATACCAAGCAACTCCTACTCGTCCTCCCTCCAGAGAGTCTCGCCAATTGCTGATTAACGATCACTCTGGCCAACAACTCGCTTCTCCACCAACTCCTGCTCGCCCCTGCGAGCGTTAGCCCTATCTCTAAATTGTGTGTTCTATCCGCTATTAGATGTCCGACCCCTTCTAGATCATGAGTCCTCTCGGGTCGCTCGTCTCGTAGTATCACGTTCCATAGGAAGAGCCCCTCAGCGAGCCACGTTCCCAAGTATCGTTTCGGTACAGCCCTGCCTCTTCTAACGCCACAGGAAGTGGTATGTCGTATCCAACCGCCGTCTCTCTGGGGCCCACAAGCTTCCTCACACTATACGATTCGGACTCTCGTGAGAAAACATAAGCTAACCAGGCCGCTGAATCAGTCCTCATTTCTTCTCCTACTCTCGGTCAGCATCACTCTACTCCCTCCGATACACCCCATCTCTCGACGTTGCTAACCCTTCCGACAACTCTCGCACTCAGGTCCAGTATGGTCGAATAGGTTCAGTAGCCAGGCTCACTCATCCKTCGCCCTGGTGCGCTCCTCTACCTCCTACGCCCGGACCGCTACTCCTATCCTGGGAAAATGGGCGTCTRTAACGTCAATCTCCTCCTCGTCAACCTCACTCTCTGGGTCGACCCAGTCTGGTTCCCACAGCTCCTCGTCGTCCTCTCGCTCCCAACCCTCGTCGTCAAACTCGTCCTCGACGCGGTATGGCGCCTGTCCTATAGCTTGGTAGTATTCCGTCAACTGATGGCCGTATATCAGAGGTCGCCCGGCGTCCTCACTCCACCAGCTCTCCCAGTCGTCTGAGAAGAGCAGGCCGATACAGGTCACGTACTCGGGGCCTGCTCGGAGCTCACGGTCTAACCAATCCCAAACGCACGGAGACTGGGGCCATTTGTCGTCTATCGAGCGGATCAGCTCTATAAGCTGAACCCTCTCGTCTCCCCAACGAGGCCCACCGGTCGCAAGCGAATAGTAGATGTAGTCTAGGTCGGCAGGCCTTCTCGCCAGGATCTTGAGATCCTGATAGGCCAGGTATGTCTYGACCACTCCACCAATACCTCCAAAGACGCTCTCTACTACGAACGTCGGAACTATCGCCCGCAGGCTCCTAACGCTGTACGGGAAAAACCCGTCCCGTTGTCAGGCGGTCACAAGTAGTGCGCCGCCTGAAATCTACGGGTTTAGGGACTTAGGCTCAAAGACAAGTCCGTGTAATGACGGTACTCTGGTTTGACCAGGCAACAAAAATTAGGGGTACCCCGAGTATCCCTAAGATTAGATATCACGACCATTGAGACTAACTCTCGAAATTGATAAGAAGGACTACCTCTTCTACCGCGGCTGCGTCTATCTCAATGCCGCTGTCTTTAGCTTGTCTCCGGGACGGCCGCCTACTGAACAACAAGATGAAGATAGGCTTAGGCGTGGTTCTTTTACGCCCCACAACTGGCGCAGAAGCGGGGCCTCGGATATCATCAATTTTGGTATCAAAATTAGAAAAAGTGAACATGAATTAAAAACAAAAGAAGAAAAGAGAAAAATGGAATATTCATTAATTTATTCAAAATCTTTGATATTTGATTTTTAATGGGACCGCCCTCAATTATTGGAATTTCTGACAATAG